TTTCAGGCACCCACATGGTTATGTTGTAGACAAGTGATATCCATTGTGGTATCCGTGTGTGTCGTAATGAGAATAGCTTTCAGGCACCCACATGGTTATGTTGTAGACAAGTGATATCCATTGTGGTATCCGCGTGTGTCGTAATGAGAATAGCTTTCAGGTACCCACATGGTTATGTTGTAGACAAGTGATATCCATTGTGGTATCCGCGTGTGTCGTAATGAGAATAGCTTTCAGGCACCCACATGGTTATGTTGAGCTATCAGTTTCATAATCACGGGTTTCTCCCGGCTACTACTGAAGATCCTTTTGATACAAAAAAAAAAAGCCATGTGAAAAGGTTACTGCTTTCACAAATTTATTGAATATAGTTACCAAATATTAGATATTTTTTTCTTTAAGAGTGATCTTCACACAAGTGCCGATTAAAACCGATACCACTAAGATAGGTGTAATGTGTTGTTGTTTAGAAGTTTTTAACAAATCTTGAAATTTGGGATTGAAATTCTTGAAACTCTTTTAACAACCGTGATGGCTGTGTTTGTAAAAAAAACCTTAGTGAAGACAAAAATTTGGAAGATATGCAGAAATTGTTCTTCAAAAACCATTTTATAAGTCTTGAAACAATATCTAAAACTTTCCAGATATCTAGCAGTGTACTTTTAATTCTTGTCATAGTAAAATTTAAACAGTAATAAAACTTGCAAGATTGTTGCTTGTGAAGTCAAAGCTCTTGTTGAAACTCATGTTTTATTATCTTATTAAAGTATAATCAAGATTTTTAGTTGCTACAACATATGTTCTTAGTCTGCTTAATAAAATATGCTGAAGAACTTGTAATTTTTGTCAATAATTTATATTTTTAATCATGTTTTTTAATCAGGGAGTGGAAATTTGGTATCCTTTAGTACCAATTTTGACTTTGACACTACTTGCAGTAAAGGGTTTCTTAGCAGGTCTGTTTGAAGCAGGATCCAGTATCTTCATCCTTTCATTTGGTTTCGCTTTTTCTAAGCTCACAATAAAACTTGTGGTATGTACATATAATAGAAATACTTTTGATGTTCACATACAGAAGTCAGAGATCTACATGTACAACATAAGTACTATGTATACTCCTTCTGACAAAATCTCGTTGCAGTTGCATGAATTATAAATGTTTGTACAAATTAGTTTTTTTCTGGCAATTTGTTAATTTTTGGTTCTTGTGTATTACAGGTAGTGGTAAAAAAAAATGGAAACACCAGTGTAAAGTCACTTAATAGGGTGTTGGGCATAGAGTCTGGAATTCTGCAGGAGGAATATGGCACCACACTTCCACAAGAAAGTGAACCAACTCATGCCTAGTTGATGGAAGTGTAAAGTCTCGGGTGTCGTTCCAGAATATCCCATACATGCTTGATTGGGGTTCAGATCTGGTGACTAAAAAGGTCATGACATATGGATAACATCAGTTCATGCTTCTCAATCCATTGGGTGATTACTCCTGCTCTGTACATTGTCATCTTGAAAGACACCTCTCTCTCTCTGCAGGACAGAAATGTTGTAACATAGGGTGAAGATGATCACTCAGTACCATTACGTAAAGATTGGTATAGACCTTGCCTTCTATCTAAGGGTATGAGTACACCCAAACCTTGCCAGGAAAACCTTCCCCACACCATTACAGAACCAACAGAACCCGTCACTGTTGGAACCAAGCACTCAGAGCTGTAGAGTTCTTTAGGTTGCCACCACACGTACGCTCGTCCATTGGTCAAGAACATGGTGAAAGATGATTCATCTGACTATATCCCATTTCTCCACTGCTCAGTAGTCCATAGCCTGTGCTCTTTGCACCACTGGATGTGCAACTGTGCATTGCCAGGTGTGATGAGGGGTTTGTGCACTGCAACCTGACTATATCCCATTTCTCCACTGCTCAGTAGTCCATAGCCTGTGCTCTTTGCACCACTGGATGTGCAACCGTGCATTGCCAGGTGTGATGAGGGGTTTGTGCACTGCAACCTGACTATGGTATCATGTTTTGTGGAGTTCTCGATGAAACTGGCTGCTTTCGCTCCAGGTTGAAGTTTGCAGTCAATTGATCTGCGGTTGCTCGCCTGTTTTGCCTTGCAGTTCGAATTAATGCACGAACATCATGATCCTGGAGTATGCGCTTCCACCCACAATTGGCCTATGCTGATGATTCTTTCCCTCGGAATTTCTTGCTGACATCACCTTAGATACTGCTGCTCGTGAAACATCAGAAAGTTGAGCTGTCTTAGTCACTGAAGCTCCCGCCAAATGTGCCCCCAACAATCATCCCTCTTTCAAAGTCACTGAGGTCTCTTCTTGCAGCCGTGCTAGTCATAATTATGGGCAATCAGGCCTGTCCACCAGTTTTATACATGACCCTATGCATGTTGGGATGTTATGTGGTAGCCTCTGCATTGCATATACTTGTTGTCCCTCACTTACCTAAGTGTTTCCATTTTTCTTTACTGCTACCTGTATGTTGTTTATTATAAGGCCCATAGTCATAAGTAATATGTAAAACTGATTCAAAGTTAAATGTTTTAATTATGAAGAATGTGTTAACTTGATTTCTGTTCTCACTGTTAGTGTGTGGAACACCAATAAATGTGTAGTAAGATAAAACAAACTTGCAATTTCAGATCCTTTACACTCAGTTGATTATGGCAGTAAAACTGTATGTAAAACATATAAATTGTTCATTATATGTAGGTTCGGTGTTTCTTGTTTTATTTGTCATTGTCTGACAGAATTGAATCTGATGAGTTGCCAAAACTTTGTGTGTCTGTTAGATCATGTGTTGTTTGCACTTAACAGCTGACAGTTGTGTATGAAATACACAGTTTGTTTGGTCTTAATGGTGGCAAAATTATGTAGTTAAATCATGTGTTGACATATTAGAACAGAATATATAAAAGTATTTAAATAATTAAAACTGTAATTGCCAGAGTCAAGTTATGTTTTTTGGCTGGGCATGTCCAGGTATTTAAGGAGCTCGACTTGCAATCTGTGGGTCGCGGGTTCGATTTCCCATCCCACCAAATATACTTGCCCTTTCAGCCATGAGGGCATTATAATGTGACAGTCAATCCCACTATTCCTTGGTAAAAGAGTACCCCAAGAGTTGGAGGTGGGTGGTGATGACTAGTTGCCTTCCCTCTAGTCTTTCACTGATAAACTAGGGACAGCTAGTGCAGATAGCCCTCGTGTAGCTTTGCATGAAATTCAAAAACAAACAAATCATGTTTTAATGTTTTATTTCAAATAAATATGCAGATATTGATTAATAAAAACATAGCACGTAAATTGTAGTATTAGTGTTAAAAATACTTACCCTGTTATTTATGTTTTTATCTACTGGTTTTATACTGTTCCTTTGCCAATACTTAAAACAAGTTTGATCCATTTTTCTAGATTGTCAATGTTTCCAAGAGTGACATGGACTTCTGGGATTCCAGTTTAGTAGGACCGATACTTCTTTGTCTAAATATCTTTCTACGTTTCGTTGAACCGCATACAGCTTTACTCTGTGCTCTGGTGAGTAATTGGAATAATGCAGTGATAAAAGTGACGTGGTCAGCTGGGACACAGTAATTGGGATATACTAGTAACACTTGTAATGTTATCCAGAATATTGTAATGTCTAGACATGCTTATATTAGAACAAAGCTACTTAAACATCTTATGTAAAATATAAATATATTTTGTGAGTAGCAGCTTGTCAGTGTTGTACTCAACCTTATATATCAGACTGCAATAATGTTTTATAAAATTGAAGTAAAATTATGATGATGAATACACAAAATACTTTATAAACTGTTTCCAGCTTACTGTCTATAAAATAGAATAGAAATACGACAACATTTAGTAAAACATTGTAAATGGTAGATGATTAGTAATTCAACAGGTTTCATTGTACTCAATAAAGAATATTATATCACATTTTCCAGAAAGTGCATTTATACTTTTTGTTTATCCTGTATAATAAAAGAAAGGTTATTTCTTATGTTTCAGGTTTACAATGCAATAGATTTTGTCAGATACTTTACGTATGCAAGTTGGGATCTGAGGGATGCTCTTGACGTGTGGATCTTTAATCTTAAGTACCCACCTGGCCATCCTCTCTGCCGTAACGGTAATTTAGGATTCTACGTTAATGGCCTTAACAATGAAGAGTTAAAAGAAAAATGTAAGATGGAGGAATTCCTAAAAGCTCTTTCTGGTGAAGTTTCTCATAAAACAAGTTTTAATTTAAAAAATGGATGTACGCACAAAAGGCAGGAGGCTCATGAGAAATTTTATTAAAGAAATGATGAAAACATGTTCATTATCACTTTTTTATGTTGTGTATTTCACAATTACTAATGAAATAAAGTCGTGGAAATCATTACAATACACAGTTTTCAACCAAACATACTTTACATAAAATCTTGCAGAATGTTTTCTTCTATGTGAACTGTGTTAAGTTAATGGTTCATTGTTTTGAGCTTTCTCAGGCATATGTTGATAAAGATACGTACATCGGTGAATATTTAACAGTTGGTCACTCATTACTCATTTTAGAAGTAATAAGTACTTGTTATTCTTATAAGTAGTGTTTTATAACAGTTTCTCTTGGTAGTTGTAGTAGAGAAGATATTTTTATATATAAATCTTGATTGGCATTTTTAATACTTGTCTAAGATAGATAACGGAAGCAAAGTTGCTTGTACCAAAAGAAACTAGCGTTTTTGCTTCTTTATTATGTAATATTGCGTAGATAAGTTCATTGATATATATATATGTATGTGTGTGTGTTTGTGTGTGTGTGTGTCTGTGTATTTATTCTATAAAATATGAAGATCAGGCCTAAGGAAGTGCAACAAAAAACAACAACACACAATAATACCAAGCTACAAATTATAGTTTGTGAAATTATAAGATGCTACAGTAGGACTTGTTTCAATTGCTTTCCCGTTAATCAACGTGTTTGAATTTACAGACAAAGAATTAAAAAAATGCACAGCATGTATAATAAAGCAACAAATCAAATATAGACAGCCTAGGTTGTTATTGTATCGGTTAAGAGAAAAGCTTTGATACTTTTATCTTAGTGTTTTTTGTCACACCATATTTAGGCTAGGCCATTTGTTTACAAAATGGACAGAATGTGTGTGAGTAACGGGTTTTTATGTACACGTTTTGAGCTTTTCTTTTAAACCAAGTATTTTGTTGTGGGCCAAAAACTTTATGGAATACGTGTAAGAGAGTGTAAGAATGCATTGTACTGTAAATCTAAACTAAGTCGGAAATTGTTACTTCACAGTGTGTTAGATCATTAAAAATATGTATGTAAACATGTCTTAGTTTTGAAATAAAGTATTTCAATTCATGTATTGGATTTTACTATTTTTTAATGACATAACTTATACATTAATTCATATGATAAGATTCACAATATGCTAGTTAAAGATCTCTGTGTGACCTTATTACATAATAAATTTAGAAATTAAACAAGCTTACAACTTCATAATGGAAAAGGAAATAGCTGAATTAGGATTTAATAGCAACTCTTTACTACACTTGCTCCTTATCTCAGTATGAGCTATTTACATCAACTGGAACATTAGACAGGCTAAACATGATGAAATACTTACAATAGAGATCCTAAAACAAATGTTTTGTGGTGGATTCATACTACTGCTCTTACATTAAATTAACTCTTCACATCCAGGCCTGACTCTTTTGCACGTCACAACTCTTACATTCAAATAGTGTTAACTTCATAATTTCAAAAGGAAAAAAAAAATTCTCAATCTCCATTTTCCTGTTTCACGTAAGCTCTTTACAATCTTTATAATGTCCAGATAGTTATCAAACTTTTCTTAAGAAACAAACTTTATATTTTATCTGTTATTTTCAGTAATTAATTTCTCTAGGTGTTCAGTAAATTTGACTGATCTGACAACCACCATAAAAAATTAGGAAATAAACATAAATTATGCATCTTTCATTCTAGAATGAACACAAATTATAACACGAAAACATAGATGCTTAGACAAAATAGCTTAAATCTCATAACATTATACATTTATATATATTTATTATATTGACCTTTCACCCCTGCCTGGTTAACAATACAGAAGTTACAACGATGCAGCTCATGTTACCGTATTCAATAACATAAAACTGACCTTTGGTCTGTACATAGTAACTTGTCTTGGCTGTGTTTTAGTAGACTAGTATTTTACAAAATAAAGTTACATTTAAATTATTATACATTATATATGTATATAGATTATTGCTATTTGGAAATAAGTTCTTAGTTATTTTTCCTAAAACGGTAAACAAGTAAAGTAAACAATTATCTTTTCTAGTTACTGGTTGTTGCTTGATGTAGATTGCTAAGCCTTTAACAATTTTGCACGTGGAGGACATGTACTGAAATATGTTTTAGGTTTTATATATACTTTTGAATAATTAAAAAATCATAAATTACTACATCAATACCATACAGTTATACTAAAATTTATCAAACCTAGTAACTAAGCTGTATTTGGGTTTTAAAAATATGAAATTTCCAGCAGACTAAAGACACAACCTTCTTCATTGAAATCTTGATTTACAAGAAAGAAATGAACGTTAGAAATGTTTAGAAAACCACTAGGGGGACAGTCTGAGCTTCTTATCGAATATTCATGTCATACATAGAAGTAAGTGTTTATAAAAAAGCATTTCCAAAAATGGAAGGAGGTGAACGGGGTGCCAGCATGTTTGATTTATTACATGAGCAAAAACTTAGCAAATAGAAATACCTTCTTATTTTCCATTCTAGCTTGTCAGTATCTGTAATTTGAGTTTATATTTCGTATGAAACCATAGACTTAGTATTTTGATTTCACAAATATTTCTAATTTGAACCAGTGCTGCATTCAAATTACCATGCGACACACAAAAATCGATGTTTATATGTGTATTTTAATATTTACTTTAAATTAACAAATTGAGTAATGTGTAGCTCTAAAATTTCAATTATAATTTATAGTTTTATACCAAATTTAACTGACATAAATTCATGAAATAATAGTTCAATAAAATTTTGAGTGTGAGTCAACAAACGAGATGACCCATACTCATTCCTTTTAAATTAGTATCAACCAGTTTGCCAAGACCTCCTTTTCACTGGTGTAGGTATTTGATTTCAAGTTACTAACCTGAAATCACATTAGGTTAAACAAACTGAAAAGCCTAAAAGGATTTAATTGAAAAATTATTGGTGTAGCATCAGCATATGTTTATTGTGCAAATATAAGGTAGAGACAGTTGATATAGGTATTCAAAACGTACTTACTCCTTATCTGTTTTAAGTAAAGGTTTCTAAAAATAGTTCAGTATAGTATCCATCTATTGAGAGATAAGTGAATTTCCAAGTACTTTTTTCTTAATTTGAAAACACAGATACCACACTTCTAAGTAAACATTAGCTAATTTTGGATTAATTTGGAGGCCAGTGAGTCTGGAACGGTCCCTCGAGGATGGTACAAGTACCCCAGAGCACTGGACCAACATTAAGGGGATATTTCCAGTACCCACACTTTCCAACTTAATCCCGGGTTACTGCATATGCATACAATCAATAACCCCATGCCAGGGTCAGAGGATTAATGGGGAGGACATCATACGGATTCCAGGTGGAGTATGATACCAATTTCAGATTTATTTGCAACAAATAGTAGTACAATAGAACAATACAAAATGAGGGACAAACAGATCTAAAAACACATTGACAATATAAAATAAAATAACAACCCGAAAAAAGACTATAACGAGTGAAATGTACAATAATTACAAAGTATGAAACAGTATGTACAAAGCAAGGAAAATTATCATTTTACAATATGTAAAAGACAAGTAAATTTACATTTTACAATTTATATATATACAAATCAATGAAATTGACTCTACAATACGTAGAAGTTATGGCATTTTTTTACAAAGGGAAATACGTTACAAAAATTAAGTAACTGGAGAAACAAAACAAAATATGAAAAAAATCAAAGTAGGAGCTGAATCCTCTCACTGCCAATGGTGAACAGGGGAGAAACATCAGGATGCCATCGATGGAAGAATTCCCCAAGTTCCCAGAAGCTGGAAATCCGTCTCAAGATGGAGCAACAGCTTGAACTTGACCTTATAGTAAATGCTCTGGAGAGTCATGGGAACTCGCTCGTACATGTAGTGGTTCCTCATGAGCCAGATGACATATTTATAGAGCAAGAGGAGATAATGAAACTGGAAGGCCAAGTGACCAGAAACCGGAGAGGGGACATGGTAAAGGACAGTCCTGGCTGATATCAGCAAACCTTGAAGGGTATATTAGACAAAAATTAACAAATACAATATTAATATTTTAAATGGGAAAGTGAGTAAGCATTAACTTTACACTATCACGTCGAGTTTACTACATTAAACTCACCAGTTTCACGTTTACACTCTTGCAGAATATAAAAAATCAAACACAACTAAAACAGAGCTGTCCTTTGCAGTTTATTCAAGCCACAACATGCAAGGTCCTTTCCCACAGACTTGAACCCCCATGGAAATCATACACATTTATTAGGTAATCACAATTTCATAGTGAAGTCACAAATTTTAAGAATTATTAAAACATTTTATTCAAAAAGTTCAAAAATTACCTCTCAAAGGAGAAAATATACTCAGATCTAAAGGCCTAGTTATCTACCCGGTAA